GTGAGTGTGTGTGTGTGTGTGTGTGTGTGTGTGTGTGTGTGTGTGTGTGTTGGGTTGGGATTAGCATAAATTAGCATAAAACTCTTTTAAAATAATTGCACCCAATTTTGTCTTTCAAGTACTTTAGCAGCTGTGATATGTTGTAAAATTAATTGCAAGCTGCCTTTTTAGGCTTCCTCTGCCTTAGTGAAATTGAAATTGTTTTCTTCAAAAGATGTGATTTAAGAATTCTAGGCACACAGTGCAATATATAGATCATAGAAATGTACACTTGAAACCTATATGATTTTATTAACCAAAGTCACAGAAATAAATTCAATCTTAAAAAGAATAAAATATAAACAGAAAAAAAATGCATTTGATCACAGGAGATAGTAAAAGCTAGATATACTGATAAAATAGGTGAAACGTTTAAAATATGTAAAACTAAATGACACATGTTCAATGATTCTTTTCCCAGCTCAGCAAAGATATAGGGTAGATATTCCAAGTGAATCAAAGGTTTTATAAGGATTTTAAAGCCACGGTTTCCAAGTACAAACCAGGATGTTCTGTCTGATTAGTTTCTGTATCTGGTATGTAGCCCAGTGCCTGCCACAGAGTAGGTGCTCAATTTGCTCTGGAGGTTCACTCATCCTAAACAAGTGTACATTGTCTTTCTTAATACAATACAGTAAGGCAGGTTTCTACATTTAGAATGAGAGAGGTCCTGAACCTGACAACCATCACTGGTTGTCTACTTGGGTACTCCTCAGTGGGTGTGTTCACTTAGAAAACCAAATTACAAATCTAAAAGCTTCTGGGTGGGGACAGGATTAGAACAAAGTAAATGAGATTGAATGTTATTTAAGGGACATTTCTGTCGTTATGGTTTCCTGATAGAATTGCCATTCAGTCTTGTAGTGCTCTTTCTTTGTTTTTTGTCATTGTTGTTTAATTTTTATTTTAAAATGCTCATTAGATTAGAACATTCTTTTCCTGGTTAATTACTAAGGAGTCAATGATTCTACAGAAATAATTTTTCCCCATTGCTTATTATAGGCAAGGTACTGTGCTACATATCTGGGTGGGAGGTAAAAAAAGATTAAGAAGAATATCAAGGGATTTGCAACCTAATAGGATTGTCCTGAAATGACAATTCTTGTTCCTCCAACCCTCCCCATTTAAAAAGTTCCTGTCAATTACTAAAGCATCTGTTATTACTACTCTTACTTTGAAATGGAGTTTCCACATGTGGTTATTTTATGTTAGTTATATTTTAGGGTGGCTACTTCCTGGCATCTTTTAATCACATCAGTGAGCTTCTAATTAATGCTCATGAGAGATTATTTCAGTGGGGGGCTCATGCAAATGATAGTTCTCCCCTTTGCCTATAACTCGATTGCGAATAAACTGCCAGATAGACTAGACTCTCAGGTAACTTTGAATTCATTATGGTCCTCCAATATTTATTTTAAAGCATCTCTACCTTCTACTTTTATCATATCTCTGAGAAAACAAGAACAATTAAGTACCTGTTATATACTAGGTATAAACTGGAGATTAAAGTGGACTCCGATTATGTCATTTCAAAATTCAGAGGAAAATAGAATACATTTTAAAATATTTTCTATCAGAAATTGCTAAAGTGGACCAAGTTTTGATAGTTGCACAGAATAAGCTATTTCCTTAATAAAGGTATCAGAAAAATGAAGGAAATTTATATAATGAAGTATAGCAATGGTCAGACTATTACTCTATATTTGTTTTTAATATGTATTATGATTGTATCTCATTAAAAAGGGTATTTGGGGTGGTGTGAGAGTAATTTGTGAAGTCCTGTATATATTGAATTTAGAGTCAGGGTATGTTAGATCTAAAAGGAACCTTAGAGAGAACTCATTTTATCCAATGCATTCCTTTTACAGATGAGAAAACTAAGACCTGGAGAGAGAAATTGTGTAAATTAGTAGCCAAGGTGAAATTTGATCCTGTATCACATTACTCCCTCTGCTGTGTCCTTTCAGCTATCCAATGTATCTTTCACTGGGCCTCAATAGCAGTGAGCTCAGTTCTAACTTTTTAAATGGGAGGAAACACATCAGAATATGCATAGGAGAAAGGTGTATTGAAACCCAAGAATTTCATTCATCCAAAGTTGCTATGATATAGAGAAAATGGCGGAAGAGTAGATGGGTGGGTTCTGAGCCTTGTCTGGAAGCAGAAAGAGAGAGCAGCTGAGGGCCGCGCTGGGAGTGTTTATTAGCAAGCCAAGAGACAGGCGAACACCAGGAGAAACAGGGGGTCTGCAAAGTCGCTAAAATCCTGTCACAGTGCCCTGTGGATTACTTTGTTCTTTTTAGTGACTGCAGATGTTGCTGGATTGATTTCTATATATAAACACTTTACTAATAGAGTGTTTTATGTATGACCTTTATAAATTCAAATCAAAGAGAATGAAGATGTGCCCTAGCATTACCTTGAAGGAAATAAATGATTTTCAGAAATGTTGAGTGGCTTGGGAATGATGGGTTTTTTTTTTTTTGTTTGTTTGTTTATTTGGGTTTTTTAAAAATCTTTATTGTTGAAAATATTATATATTATATATGTCCCTTTTTTTCTCCCATTGACCCCCCCCCCTCCAGCCCGCCCCCTGCCCCCTGCCCAGGAATGATGTTTTACAAGCATAGAGATTTTAACTGATAAACTTAAATTTTTGACATCTATTTTTATGAACATTTGTTTGACTCTGGAGTATATTTCATAAAAACTAAACATAGTCCTGGCTGGCGTGGTTCAATGGTTGAGTGTTGACTATGAACCAGGAGGTCACGGTTCGATTCCTGGTTGCGGCACATGTCTTGGGTTGTGGGCTCAAACCCCAGAGTAGGCATGCAAGAAGCAGCCAATCAATGCTTCTTTCTCATTATTGATGTTTCTTTCTCTCTCTCTCCCTCTCCATCTCTGAAATCAATAAATAAATATATATATATATATATATATATATATATATATATATATATATATATATATATATTAAACATAGAATTTTATCAGGGGAAATGGTTTCATATAGGATATTTAATATTTTAATTGGCCAAAAATGGCCAATATGACTTACACTTAGATAATTCTATATGATAAAGAAGTAATATGCAAATTAACCACCACTCCAACACACAAGATGGCTGCCCCCCTGTGGTCAAAGATGGCCACTCCCATGTGGACACAAGATGGCCAGCAGGGAAGGGTAGTTAAGGACAACCAGGCCTGCTGGGGAGGGCAGTTACAGGTGACAGGCTGTCAGGGGAGGGCAGTTAGGGGCAATTGGACCAGCAGGGGAACAGTTAGGCATTGATCAGGCTGGCAGGGGAGTGGTCAGGGGGTGATCAGGCTGGCAGGCAGAGCGGTTAGGGACAATCAGGCAGGCAGGCAGGTGATCGGTTGGAGCCAGCAGTCCCGGATTGTGTGAGGGTTGTCAGTTTGGAGAAGGTGCAGGTGGGGCAAAGGGACCCTGTGCATGAATTTCATGCACTGGGCTTCCAGTACTTAGGATAAAGTCCAAAGTATGTTTCATGGACTTTAAGAAGATTTATGATCAGCTACCTAATTTTATCTCTCACTTTCTTCTTTGCTTACTCTGCTCAAGTCATACTGGATCTTTTCTGTTCCCTAAATACACTAGACACTCTTCCATATCAGACTTCACATTTGCTGTTTCCTCTACCTGCAGTCTTTTTCCTCAGATTCCCACATGATTTTCTCCCTTACCTTACCTATGTCATCATTCAAACACAACTTCCTCAAGATGTCAAACAAAAATGTCTCTAGAAGTTTCTGAATGTCCCCTGGGAGAGGGAGTAAATTAGCACCCAGTCTAACCCCTTGCTTTATTTTTCTTTGAAGCACTTATATTACATTATATTTTATAGTCATATCTCATGTTATATTTGCTTATAAGTTGTCATTGGAATGTCAGCTCTTTGACAGCAAGAATTTCTTTCATTGGTTGCAGTATCTGCAATCCCAAGAACAGTATCCGGTAAAGAGTTTTTAAGTAATGGATCACTAGATTAACTATTCAGAAAACATTGTCTTGAAAGGTGCCATGATCATCTTGGGTCATTTCTCTATTCAGAGTGCTTCCTTTTATTATAATAATTTAACATACATGAAAATGACTGGGGACATAAGGAATAAAAAGCATTGTTAAACAGTAGATATTTGAAATTGCTGATGAAAGTCCAACTTTCTTTACTAAAAAAAAAAAAAATATGCTCAAAGTGATCACAAACCTCAGTACATTAGCACTCTCCTTTTACATAAAATTTTGGTCATTGATCAGTTTTTGTGGTTTTTTTTTTTTCATTTAATAGTTTCAGTATCCTCAGTACTGAGCTACATACTCTGCTAAAATTCTAGTAGCACACATAAAAAAGGTTACTTATAGAGTCATGTTAGACACCTGCATCACTCAGAGCTGCAATTATTTTTATGAACTTTGTGTTGGACTTATGTTTATTTACATTAATTTAAGAAATTGGCACTGAAAATGGTAACTTAATTTTAGGTGTGCTTTGTAATATAATCAGCATTAACTCATAAAACTATTCTATTAGACTAATGGAAGAAGATGGAAAACACCCAAAGAGCTACAGTAGAAATTATTTTATACCATGTCAGTATTTTATTGGTGTATAATATATGCTTTTAAAAAGTTCTATTAACTTCAGGATTTAATTCTGATTTTATTAAGCAACTGTGATTTCTTAATATTTGGGTTGCTGTTATAAGCAAAGCTACTTATACACTCTTTAATATACAGGATGCATGATGTAAAACCCTACACTTTTTGTTAAAATTTGGTTTTCCCTTTCAAACAACCTTAGGTACTAAACATTAAGAAAGAAAACTGTATTTAGGCAAGCTCATAAACTGAACCTTAAATGGAGAAAAATAAAAGGTTAACTTCTTTCTTCTAAAACTTTTTCCTATTTTGTTTGCTCTTCCTTTTTATAAAGATCTCAACAGCAATGGATTTATTTGTGACTATGAACTTCATGAGCTTTTCAAGGAAGCTAATATGCCATTACCAGGATATAAAGTGAGAGAAATTATTCAAAAACTCATGCTGGATGGTGACAGAAATAAAGATGGGAAGATAAGTTTTGACGAATTTGTTTATGTAAGTATGAAATGAAAATCCACCATTTTTTACAACTGATTATTCCTTTGTCTTGTGGGATTATGGAGTTGTAAGTACCATCTTGTTAAATTCCTAAATATATTGTATTAGTGCTGGTGTAACTAATGAAATTTCTCTCATCCTAGCCACTAAATTTAGTTAGCTCTTTTAGCCATTAAATATCTTAACAAAAGAATTGAGAAAATGGGCACTGACAAAGATGTAACTTACTGCTCACTTTGGAGGTGAACAGTCTCTTTTAGGGCTTCATTAAAAGGCATTTTCGAAGGTGCTAAATGACATCCTTGAAATCCTATTTCTCTCTCCCTCAGTGAACAGTGTACTCCCAAATTTTAATAATACACCCTGACTCACAGTCTTGGAAGTTTCCTGAGTTGAACATTCTGATTAAAAAGATGTTTGCTACTCTTGCGGTTGTATTTAGCTGTACTATTTTCTCTAGGATGATAATTTTGACAATTAAAAGTTAGAAGCATGTCTTTTCAGTTCATTGGAAGAGGCATTTAAGATTCTTGTGTTCTTTTCTAGTTTCAAAAAATAATATTCTTCAGTGTTAGGACCTGGTTTATTAATTTTTTGATCCCCAAGCAACTGGTTTATTGTTCTGTACTCAGTGCTTGGAGAGGGTGTGTGTGTAGTACTCACTGTTGATTTTAGCTGCTAGCGAGTGAGGTCTAGATTTTCTGGACATGGGCCATTTTTCAGTCCGTATTCATTGACAAAGTATTTGAGATATATATTAAAGAATAAATGTTATCTCTTCCCTCAATTAAGAACACCCTTAAGAATATAGTCAATAATATTGTAATAATTATGTCTGGTGCCAGATGGGTACATGAATTATCAGGGGATCACTTTGTAAATTATATAGTTGTCTGACCACTATACTGTACATCTGAAACTATAATATAAAATAATATTGAATGACTAAAAAAAGAACACCCTTAAGATTTTATTTTTATTTATTATTAATTTAAGACCAAGATTGACTAGATCTAAATAGGCATTCCTTGCAGTATTGGCAAATAGCTAAGCAGTGCCTAGTATTTATCACAAATTTCCTAGCACTCTTAGCCTCTTTTTTTGCCTCAAGACACCTGAAATGACAAGATCTATCCCTTCAGTAACTACAGCAACTAAAATTCTGATAAGTTCTTTCCAATTAGAATTAACCCCCTTTAAAAGCACTGAAAGAGTTTAAGAAGCAAGTTGACTAAGGAATGATGTCTACTCAGCTGATGGCATTTTGGGGAGGAGGGTTGTTACTGTTTTAAAAGTGCAAACATGTTTCATAATTAAAATGATATAGTTCTTGCCACTTTTTTAAAATACTGATTTCCTCCCCACAGTTTTTGTTTCCAGTTATTGCCAAAGCCTTTTGTTTTGAATTCTGTGTCCAATAGTAAGTTGCAGTTGACTTGCAATATGAGCACTTGCATGTCCTCTGCTGTATAACTTGCTCACCTTGTAACTGCATGTTTTATTGTGAATTTAAAGCAGCTTAGAGCAGTAGTTAACTGTGATTAGGGTTTTTTAAATATAACTTGCTCTTCAGAATTTTTGAATCTAGAAAGAACAGACTTAAATCATTAAGATTTGCAGTGTGCCGGTGTTGTTAAAGATAAAATTGTGAATGTGTCTTTGAGAAAAACTGTCTTAGGAAAACAATTTTGTACATTTTGAAATGGTCCAGATTTTGCACAGCTGTTTTTGGCCTAGTGTATTCTTTAGAAGTTACATGCCTAATAATTTTGGCATCACTAGGGAATTTTTAAAGTTAAATATTAATAAGGACATGTTTGTTTAAAATGTACATTTTAGAATAGAAACAAATCTATACGTTTATAATCAAATTACAAATTAAAAAACAAACAAACCTGGGTTCCTGAAAAAGGAAGTGATTTACCCAACTTTACAAAGGGGATTAGTGACTCTTTTAAGTTTTCTTCCTCCCTATTCAAGAAATTTGAAATATGAAGGACAGTAAAAATAACCTCCCTGAGGTTTCAGAATGACAACACCATGACTGTACTGGAAAGTGATGGGTGTCTAACCAGATGTCTGTTCACTCCCATGTGCTTTGTCATCAATGAAATAGCTTACAAACTGTCTTATGGGTAGATCTTAGTTATCTGAGAAAGAGGAAGTTATACCTGTCAGGTATTAACAAGGAAATAGAAATAAACTTGTTGATGCCTGTTAGCATTTTGTTTTTTATTTAAATTGCTGCTGTTACTAGGTTTAGGCCTACAACAGATTCCATCCCAAAAATGTAAACCTGCTACTTTGCTACTTTGAAAACAAACCTCTAACACTGGAAGCCAGTCAGTGTGTGTGTGTGTGTGTGTGTGTGTGTGTGTGTGTGTGTGTAATTCTTTCTGAAATATTTCCTTTTTAAATTCTATGCTTCTGAATTTTTGGGGGGGAGGTGGCCACTAATTGTGTGTTTAACTAAAAAGGAGGTGGAACTTTTGAAAGGAATAAGAAACATATATTTCATAAAAGAGACTGGGAAAGATGTATAGATCAAGAGTGAGCTGTGCACACCAGGGGTTTGTTCACACCCGATAAAGCAAGTCTTTCCTCTTTGAGGGAAAACAGTGAGCTCATTAGTATCACAATGGGCAGCTTTGAAAATATTCACTGAGAAGTCTCCAGCACAGTAGTTGGCCTTGTGTTATCTCTGATTTCAGAGATTCTTGTTAAACCAAGGCTTATACTCAAATAGTTTTGTCATCCACTGGAGCAATTTCTTTTCTAAAGTCACAAACAAAATGCAAATTCTCAAGTAGTGAATCAGTTTAACAAATGCATACATCTTCAATTATCTTTTATCTTTAATTTTTTTTAAATTTAAAGGACAGAGAAAAATAATATAAAACTGAAAATTTGAACTTGGCTGTAATAATTTTTAAAAAACATAATTAGAAAATAAAGGTCATGTAACTTTTCTAAGACAATTAAAAATTAACTAATTTAATTGTAAGTTTGAATTTCATTCCTGAGCATCAGGAGTTTAGAACTATTCAGTAATTGCATCACAATATTGTACACCATTTTTATTATTATTACTATTTGTATCATTTCTCTTTTCCATGATATATATAAATTTAGATTTTTTTCAGCTGAAATTGTGACCATGGCAACAACCAAATTTTTAGAAGAAAATGATCCTTGAAGCAAAAAGATTTGTAATAAGAAAAATAATTTTTCATAAATCATTCTGCAGCAGTAACATTTTAGACATTTTTTGTCATTCCAGTGATTGATATTATGTCAGTCATGAGGAAACTTACACATTTTAGATTTTAATTTACTGGACAATGTTTTTCTAAATGAAGTAGAGTTCAGAATGAGGTAAAATAGTGATTATTGTTTTTTCACTAAGCTGATATATAATTATTGAAGCAGGAGTTATGGGAACAAAATGCATCACAGTTAAGACTGCTACATTCCCAAGTAACCATTTTGCTGTATAATCTAGACTTAGAAGTTAAAGGTAAATTGGATCAAATTAAAGTTAGATGTTAAAAATCAGAGTATAAGTAAAAATAATTTTAATAATTTGAAACTTACCCAGAATGCATGAGTTAGGTTCACACTACAGAAATCAAAGAGTTAAGGAATCCAGAGAGAAAGGAGAGTGATTTTGCTGGCTATGTGCAGTATTTAGAGTAGTTAGTGTATATGTGGGTGTCTATATATATATGTGTGTGTGTGTGTGTGTGTGTGTGTGTGTGTGTGTGTGTATATATATATATATATATATATATATATATATATCCCCATACATACATACACACACACATGCTTCTATTCTAAAATTCTACCTCTGAAATTACAGGTATAGCACAAAATCCCAGCTATAGAAATTGAGTAAGCTTGATATTATAAAATTTACTGCTTACTATTTTCCTATATAAAATTGGGCTTATAAGTCCAAGGAAAGTCAGGATTAAGAAAGATAACAGTCCCTGGCTGGGCAGCTCAATTGGTTGGGCATCATCCCAGGCCCTAAAAGAACACATGTCCAGGTTGCAGGCTCAATCCTCAGTAGGAGGCAATTGATGTTCTATTCTCACATTGATGTTTCTCTCTCCTTCTCCCACTCTCTCTAAAAATCAATAAGAAGTCATTAAAAAAAAATCCAAAATTCTTTAAAAACAAAGAAAAAGAAAGGTAATAGGAAAAGATGACTTTGTGATAGAGCCGCTGACAACAGCAGCAGCAACTTTTCTACCAGTTATAAAAAGTCACTCTCTAGATGGATTAATTACAAAAAGGTGCCACCCCTCCCCAAAAGACTAAATGTGAAAAGGTACTCCTGCTTTTCTGCCATTCACAGTCTAGTGCAGGATGTAAGGTAAGCCTAGCTAGTGGAGCATGGGCCGGATTTCAGCTACTACTCATGTTCGCTCTCCCAGATACAACCTGGATTGACCCTGTTCTATGAATTTCATACATAGGCTGCACTTCGTGAGATGAGATGAGAGAGAGAGAGGGAGAGAGAGAGAGAGAGAGAATGTACTTCTCCATAATGCTAAAGGCCTTTGAGTTATTTTCTATTTGTTCAGCAACCTTTTTATTAAGACCGCATGTTTCTTTTAATAAGTGCACTTCTGTGTTCTAAACACATTTTAAAGAAATTTTTATGGAGGTGCCACATCTTGCTCTTGTTTTACTGGCAGTGACTAATTTAGCCATGCACATTGGTAGATCGGGAACAAATTTAGAGTTAGGTAAATTCCAGTATTTAAGAATTATATAGTCAGTACTTTAAGTTGTCCATTCATTCAACCAATAGGCTGTGACTTTTGCTTTGCTACAGCCTGCTCTTGGGCAATTAGAATTTGCAAGTTAATTTAGTTAGCCTGTCTCTTGTAGTGCAGAGACACTGGACTTCCTAAATGTACAAACAAGACAATCACTGAAAAGCATCTTTTCTGTGTTTATTCACAATAGTCATATATACTGCCAACTAAACACATTTTTCACCTTATTATTCTGTACATTTTGATTGAACAAACTCCTACTAGCTACCCTGTTTACACCAATAATCGTTGTTTGTTTTTTTGTTGTTGTTTATTTTTTGGTTAAGTCATGGGTCTTCATCTTTCTTTGCACTAAGAATTGTGGTTAAAGAAGCGGGGATCCTTCAACCTCTTCCCCCAGGAAAAAGGCAAAGCCTCCCTCGTTCATAGAAAATGAACAGGTTTCCCTATGCCTTTGTTGCACACTAGTTTTCGGCTTAAAGTGGATTCACTGCATGTGGCACTTAATGTTTTTGACAAGTGTATGCTGTTTCCTTTCTGGCGCTTCATTTTCAGTAGCAGTGTTGTAGTACTCGTTTACCATTAAAAAAAAAAAAAAAAACAAGCCTAGCCCTGGCCAGTGTGGCTAAGTTGGTTCGAGCATTGTTCTGGGCCTGTACACTGAAAGGTGGCAGAATTGTGCACATACCTGGGTTTCTGGTTCAATCCTGATTTGGGGCACATATGAGAGGCAACCAATCAATGTTTCTCTGTCTCTCTGTCTCTTTGTATCTCTCTCTTTCTCTATCTCTTTCTCTTTCTATATCTCTCTTTCTCTCTGTATCTCTCTCTTTCTTTCTAACTCTGCCTCCCTTCCTCTCTCTAAAACCTTTTTTTATTATTATTCAAGCCCAGTTCTCCATATTTTTTAACGCTCATCACTTATGGGGCAAAATCTAAGTGATCAGCATGTAGAAGAAATTAAATATGCTTATTGTTCTGCCTGATATAAAATTAGTTGTGAATTGACAACATATTTCAATTAATAGATTTTCCAAGAGGTGAAAAGCAGTGATATTGCTAAAACTTTCCGCAAAGCCATCAACCGGAAAGAAGGAATTTGCGCTCTGGGAGGAACATCAGAGCTCTCTAGCGAAGGAACACAGCATTCCTACTCAGGTAACGGTATCACGTGCATTAAGTTAACACAGTGAACTCAGTGGGTGCATGCTACAAGGTCAAGGAGGGATACCACTCAAATCCTATTGTATTACCACAGACACCACTGATATCTTATGTCCCTGGTCGAGAAACTGCGGCTCATGAGCCACATGTGGCTCTTTGGTCCCTTGAGTGTGGCTCTTCCACAAAATACCATGGCCTGGGCGAATCTATTTTGAAGAAGTGGCATTAGAAAAAGTTTAAGTTTAAAAATTTTGGCTCTCAAAAGAAATTTCAATCGTTGTACGTTGATATTTGGCTCTGTTGACTAATGAGTTTGCCGACCACTGCTCTAGAACAACATTGCCTCTTAGTTAAGAATACAAGAGTCCTTTGCAACATATATTTGAACTTGTGACTAATATTTGCTGTAAAGGCATTACATGTATTGTATGGCTTTGTTCGCTTGCAAGATATGATACAATATGTGTAATGACAAGCTTCATTATGGTAGTGTTCTATAGTAATATAAAAAAATGTACAAAATTTTTGTAACTAAATTCTCTAAGAATCAGTTAACTCTGCTCTGGTTTTTGTTGTTAATTTTATCATTCCTAATAGCCACTGGATTGTATTCACATGTCTGGGCTTACAAAGAAAATGACCACATGTTTGTGACACATTAAAGTTCCTCATTACTGAATAACTCTTTTAGGCTTTAAAGTCATATTTAACCCAGAGTATGAACTAACTTCTTGTTATTAAACATAATTTTAGAGGAAGAAAAATATGCTTTTGTTAACTGGATAAACAAAGCTTTGGAAAATGATCCTGATTGCCGACATGTTATACCAATGAACCCAAACACTGATGACCTGTTCAAAGCTGTTGGTGACGGAATTGTGCTTTGGTAAGATGTTGGCTTATTTTACACTCAAGTTTCCAAAGATAGTGTCCCAGCTTCATCTTGGGAAAGACTTAGAATTGAAAACTGTTCCAGTTCTGCCCATTCCATTTCATCTCTAGGTCTTTCCATAAAAGTACCACCAAAATATGAATCTAAAACTCAGCCATTTAGCCTGGGACCCTCTTTATAGGGAAGCTCTCAGTTTTAGATTTGTCATCATTGAACAAGTAGAGCATTGTAACTTTGTTGAACTTAAGTATGCCAGTAATTTTTAATTCTAAAATACCATTGCTTACAAAAGAAACAAAAAAGCTACACTTCAGCCCTAGCCCATTTGTCTCAGAGGATAGAGCATTGGCCTGCAGGCTGAAGGGTCCCATATTGGATTCCAGCCAAGGGCACATGCCTGGGTTGTGGGCTCAATCCCCAGTAGGGGGCGTGCAGGAGCAGCCCATCAATGATTCTCTCTCATTATTGATGTTTCTATATCTCTTTCCCTATCTCTTCCTCTCTGAATTCAATAAAATTTAAAAAGTAAAAAGCTACAATTCAATTCTCACTCTCCAATTACTTATTTCTGAAAAATTCATTTCTCACTGCTGCTACCCCAGAGCGAACAGTATGTTGGCAGAAATGACATAAGATTATCAACACTTTGTCCGTTGATGGGCCTATTTATAAAGGCAGTGTAACACAAGAGTTAAAAGCATACCCTATAATCAGCCTGCCTATGTTCATATTCAGTCTCTGCCATTCAGTAGTTATGTGACTGTAATCAAGATTTCAGCCCATTTGCATTTCACTTTCCATCTGTTATGATTTCTATATTATACATTCCTCGCAGGGCTGTTGTGAGCATTAAGTAAATGACTACTTACATATAGAGTGCTTAGAATAGTGCAGTGGATATATTTTCTATGATAGTATACAATAATGAAATTCCTTTTTGCAATAAAGTCATTTTGTTTGAAATACTGATTTTAAAAATATAAGATATTCCCTGCCCTGGCCGGCGTGGCTCAAGAAGTTAGAGTATCTGCCCTTCACACTGAAAGGTCCTGAGGTTAATTCCCAGTCAAGGGCACAGTACCTGGGTTGCAGGTTCAATCCCCAGCCCCCAATCTGGCTGTGAGCCAGAGGCAACCAATCAATGTGTCTCTCTTACAATGTGTGTCTCTCACATTGAAGCTTATCTCTTCTCTCTCTCCTCTCTCTCTCTCTCTCTCTCTCTCTCTCTCTCTCTCTCTCTCTCTCTTCTCTCTCTTTCTCTCTCTCTCTTTCTCTTCCACCCACCTTTTCACTCTCTCTGAAAATCAATGGGAAAATGTCCTTGGGAATGATTTTTAAAAATAAACAAATAAATAAATAAAATGTAAGATATCCTCTATTTTATCACTTATGAATACTAAAGAAATAGCTCCCCATATGTTTTAATAGAGAGAAATAAATATGGTACTATTTAGTCAATATTTAAATTTTGCATGGAAAGCAACATCAGTTTTTCTATGCAGAAAAACATGTTTTAGAGCATTATTATAAACATCTAAAGTTTTAGAGTCTAACTCCAAATTTTACCAAATGAGAGTCTTCCTAATAAGTTATAGATTCTAGCCTAATTAACATAGCCTTTCTTTCTCTCACCACTGTATTACATGCATCAAATATAGTATGCCTAGCTCATCATTTAGGCACTCATTAATATTTGGTGAATGAAAAACTCGCACGCTCAATTAATTTTACCTCTTTGTGAAAAATGGCATTTTTAATTGTGAATTATATAATTTAGAAGAGACTCAGTTTCTATGTGTAATTTTATTGGTTTTTAACATTTATTCAATAAAGTTTTTTTTCAATATCCAAGTTATTTATTTTTATAAAAGAATGTGGAAAATACAAAAAGAAAAGAAAATGAGAAAATAGGCCCCAATCCCCAACTCAGAAGTACTCAACTACTATAAACATTTTGGTCTTTTTTTAATTTGCATATATATATATATATATATATATATATATATATATAGTTTTTTTGTGATAAACATGATAAAAGTCATATCAGAGTACATGAGAGCTATAATAAGCCTTAAAATATTTATTTTTATAAATACATTTTTATTGTTGATAGTATTACAGATAGGCCTTTAAATATTTCTGAATATTTACAAACTCTTTAAAATAAATAAACTCTGTATCATAGAATTGTACACTTGAAACCTATATTATTTTATTAACCAGTGTCACCCCAATGCATTCAATAAAGGAAAGAAAATATAAGTCAATTCATTTTTAAATTTTGTTTCAGTAAAATGATCAACCTTTCAGTTCCTGATACAATTGATGAAAGAGCTATCAACAAGAAGAAACTTACACCTTTTATCATTCAGGTATGTATTATTCTCCCCTCTGTCTTCTATGAAACTACAATTTAAGGATTTGTTCTATAGATCATATATTCTGTACTTTATCTTCTCGTTTAACTCTTACAACTCTGAGTTTAGGATTATTATCCAGATTTTACAGAGAAGAGACCTGGAACTCAAAAGGGTTTCTGAGCTTTACCGAGATTAATGTTGGAAGTGAAGTTCCAACCCAGCTCTAATTCCAAGCCCTATGTCTTTTTTCTTTACATATTGTGGTATAAATATGCAGAAATAAGCAAACACACAGGGTAGAGCAAAAGTAGGTTTACAGTTGTTCATATGAAAAATAGTACAGTCTATATAATAAAAGCCTAAGCGACCATTACGATGGAATGACCAGAACAACCAGTCACTGACCATCAGGGGGAAGATGCTCAACACAAGAGCTGCCCCCTGATGATCAGTGCATTCCCACAAGGGGGTGCGCCACTCAGCCAGAAGCTGGGCTCATGGCTGGTGAGCACAGAGGCAATGGTAGGAGCCTCTCCCACCTCTGCAGCAGCATTAAGGAGCAGGAAGCTGAGTGGTAAAGAGCAGTGAGCAGGCGAATGGAAAGGAGCAAGGGGTCCCTGACTGAGAGAGGGCACAGGCTGGGCTGAGGTATGTCCCCTCCCAGTGCACAAATTTCATGCACTGGGCCTCTAGGTTTCCTATTTAATAAAAGAGTAATATGCAAATTGACCATTTCTCCAACACACAAGATGGCTACCCTCATGCGGTCAAATATGGCTACACCCATGTGGACACAAGATGGCCACCACAGATGTCCAGCAGAGGTGGGTAGTTGGGAGGGACCAGGCCTGTAGGGGACGACAATTAGTGGTGACAGGGCTGGCAGAGGAGGGCAATTGGGGTGACCAGGCTGGCAAGGGAGGGCAGTTAGGGGTGACCAGGCCTGCAGGGGAGGGCAGTTAGGGGCAATTGGGCCGGCAGAGGAGCAATTAGGCGTTGATCAGGCTGGCAAGGGAGTGGTTAGAAAGTGATCAGGCTGGCAGGCAAAAGTGGTCAGGGGCAATCAGGCAGGCAGGCAAGTACCCTGTTTCCCAAAAAATAAGACAGTGTCTTATATTAATTTTTTCTCCCAAAGTTGCGCTAGGTCTTATTTTCAGGGGATGTCTTATCTTTCTATGCACTAGGTCTTATTTTCGGAGGATGTCTTATTTTGGGGGAAACACGGTAGTTGGGAGCCAGCAGTCCTGGATTGTGAGAGGCATGCTCGACTGCCCATTTAGGCCCCATCCTGGATCCTACCAGGATCGGGCTAAATGGGCAGTTGGACATCCCTTGAGGGATCCAGATTAAAGAGGGTGCAGGCTGAGCTGAGGAACACCCTCCCCCATGCACGAATTTTATGCACTGGGCCTCTAGTTAAGTCTAGTTTAAAAAATAATACAAGAATAAACTCTATTTAGGTACTCACAACTGTAAACTTACTTTTGCCACACCCTGTATTTAAGCTCTTAACATTGGCATATTTAAGGAATGGAGCATTTTTCTCTTCCATTGAGTAGACCGTTAGATAGCAAAATTTCCATAGGCAAGAACACCTCTTCAGATATGGGTATTGAGAACTTCTAGAACTCTTTCAGCTATATGTAATAGACCTCTCATTAGACATTTTTAGAAATACGACACTTAACCTACATAGATATACTTACTTTAGTAACTCAGCCTTTTCCTTTAGTATTTCCAAAGGGATCAAATAAAAATACCAAGTTAACTTCCCATGGAATTCTGCAGAAGGCAATAGCAATAGTTGCTGGAGATTTGTTTTAGCTATGCTTTTAATACTAATGTCTGGAATTTGTTTCCTGTGGATCATGTGTGGCTGAAACTAATACAGGGTTTTAATATCCTAGTTGGGTGTTGTTTTCAGTGAGTGGAGAAATAGACTCTTAAAAAATGGAAAGGTCAAAATCAAATGTGTAAATTGGCTTTCTTGCAGGAAAACTTGAACTTGGCACTGAACTCTGCTTCTGCCATTGGGTGTCATGTTGTGAACATTGGTGCAGAGGATTTGCGGGCTGGGAAACCTCATCTAGTTTTGGGACTGCTTTGGCAAATCATTAAGATTGGTTTGTTCGCTGACATTGAATTAAGCAGGAATGAAGGTAATGGAACACAATTGTTATTTTGAAACTTGTTTATTGGTTATTTTTTTTCTAGCCATGCAGACTGTCATACTTTCTTAAGGTGATTAAATGATAGGATTAACAAGGTAATGCTATAAAGTTATTCAGGAAAACAGCCTACTTATAACTTCCTTCTTTAGTAGTAATTAACATTTGCCTGGCACTTTAGAATTTGTTTTGCAATAAAGACACAAAAACACAGAGTTTAAGGAACTTTCCCAGGATCCCCAAACTTGATATCTATTCTTTTCTGCTTTGTCCAGACAAACCCCAACCTTTCACCACACTCAGCTCTACCACTGTGCTCCATCTCCTATTATTTTTAATTCTTTTTATATTGTATCATAGGCTTAGACCTCTTAAAAATATTCTGACCTGCCCTTGATGGTCTCCTATTTCCCGAACCAGTAGAAACATTGTCCTTACAGCATAGGTTTTTAAAGCACATCATGCATTTGTAGAATATATAAGCGTGTGCAATACAATTATGATGGGGTCTAAGGAAGTACTACATTATTCTCTCCCTATAAAGTTTAAAAATAGTAAGTATCACTACAAATATTCATATTTTATTCCAGAAATCCTCAGTTACTTTTGGGGAAAAATATATATTTGGGGTTCTCATTATTTCAAGGTCTCATAATGTCTATTAAGAATCATATTTTGCACATTTTTATCCATCATAAGACTTGCACTTTAAGAATTTATTATACTTTCGCCAAAACCGGTTTGGCTCAGCGGTAGAGCATCGGTCTGCGAACTGAAGGGTCCCAGGTTTGATTCCGGTCAAGGGCATGTACGTTGGTTGTGGGCACATCCCCGGTAGGGAGTGTGTAAGAGGCAGCTGGTCGATATTTCTCTCTCATTGACGTTTCTAGCTCTCTATCTCTCTCCCTTCCTCTCTGTAAAAAATCAATAAAATCTATTTTAAATAAATAAATAAATAATTTTTAAAAAGAATTTATTGTACTTTCAATCCACTCACATGTACCTATATTTGAACAAATACAGTTTCTCTACTTGCCATTTTCACAGTGGTGTTTGTCTGGTTAAAGAGTCAAGGTCCATTGAAAAAGGAAAAGTAGACAACAAAATAAAATTATATTGGCTTGTGTAATAAATCAAGTGATTTATCTTTGACAAGGTGCATAGATGTCAGACTGTTTGATCCTTTCTAGCCTCTGACTTCGCAGAGATGGGGAGCAACAGGAAGGGTTCCATACAAATGATCATGCAGCCTCCTTGCTTAAATGTCTCAGTGCCAAAATGACATGGCATAAAGCGAAGTCCATGAAAAATGAAATTTGCCTTATATAGGTATTGCTTAGACTATTTCCGTAATCAGGCACTTTGGGCTTTGTTTAATATAAATCTCTTTTATTTTATGGGAATTAGTTATTGCATAAGGATTACACAACTTCTTCATAAAACAATGCTTGAATTTAGACAGTTCACTATGCCAGCGATTTTCTACCAGTATGCTGCAAGAGGCACACAACTGTGCCATAAGAATTTTTAAAACATGTAGTACCTGACTATTTAGTCAGGGGCACTGGACTCTTTTCCCTTAGATTGTCAAATAAAATCACAATGGCCAACGTAACAATACCCATCTGGTGTGAATGGATCAAAATTATACCTTTTTTTGTCAGGTCAGCAAAAAATATAGTTTTTGGTGTGCTGCTGAATTTTAGTAATTAGTTTATGTGTGCCAGGAGATGAAAAAGGTTGAAAATTGCTGCTCTGTGCAAACACCCAACCTCTACTTATTTTCTGTAGAAATATTTACACACATACACACAAAACCCTCTGCTTCTTCCACACATTCAATTTAACAACAAAAACTATTGAGTAGCCTTTACATGTTAGGTGCTATGGAAAATGGAAAGTTGAATTGTATTCCATTAAAAATAGGTTTAACCCTTCAAGAGTTAATTAATATACCATAATGTTTTTATGTCCCTTTAAGTAAAAAGTTAGGTGAAAGGCTCCATGTTTTAAACATACCCCAAATCTGTAATTTTAATATTATTAAACAAGCACAATTTATGTAAATATGTGATTTAAAGTGAAAATGCCTATTTATTTATTATTTAGTTAGTTAGTTAGTTTTGTGTATTCTCATAAGACAATGTCTTTATCTGTCTCATCTTATAATTATCTACTTATATATTTATCTTTTATTAGACTCAGAGTACCTGGAAACCAGGCCATGCTGGTTTTTTCATCTCTATTTTTTAATAGTATCAAAAGACTAAATGAACTTGTAATGACCATTATTATTATAATATATGGGTCATGGCTTTGTATATTTTTTTTGTAGCCTTGGCTGCTTTACTTCGAGATGGTGAGACTTTGGAGGAGCTTATGAAATTGTCTCCAGAAGAGCTTCTGCTGAGATGGGCAAACTTTCATTTGGAAAACTCAGGCTGGCAGAAAATCAACAACTTTAGTGCTGACATCAAGGTAACTGTAACTGTGCAAAGAACCATAACACTTTCGGGGGCTATAATGACTTGAGAGACTTCACCCCAGCTTAACAGAGGGGAAATCCTTACAGTTTATCACCAAGCCTTATTGCCTCTTGACCCCAATGATAGATTTCTGTAGAGAGGTGGAGCTGAGTGAGAAGCATGAGCACCAAGTTTAGTTTTCATTTTGTAGAAAAAAGTAAAATTATTATAGTTCTAGCATTTTACATTCTGCTTAGTGTTAAACATGGAATATAAAAGGATGGGCCATGACTATTCTATTCCTAACTTCCTTTCCCAGGCTTCAGTGTACCTATTAGTAAAGACCTAGATGAGAGAGAGAACCTCAAGATTCCCTTTCCCCCTTCTTATGTGCTTCCTTTCCTGTCATGTGCTATTACCTTTAGACATTGAGTTCTTTAGAGTATTGATAAGATCTTATATATGTCTTGCTCCTACTTCAGCTCCTGCCCCATTGCCCTCCTACTAAGTCCATCTCTGACACAACACCTGGCATATAAAAGGCCCACAAAAATTCCTTGCATTGAATCAAATTCTAGAGCTCACTTCTCACCAGGAACAGTAGGGAAAACTAGCAAGGGAAAGAAGACACTGGTAGCACTCATTTACAACATGGTGCCCAAGGCTATTCAAGGAGAGAGAACCAAAATTATCATAGCAAATATCATGAAGTTCTCATTAACTCCCTAGACTGTCTCTCAAGTCCAGATGTTGGGACACAGGGAACAAACTCGAGGATCTTTACCAGATGTCACTGACAAACAGGGCTATGAAATCAGTAGGCTGTGATCATATCAATTTGTTCAGTGGTGAGAGGAAGTAATGGGCTATTTGCACTACTGATTTCATCAGTGAAAATTGTGGCTAGCCCCCAAATTAGAGCACTTGACCCCATCCCTTCTTTTCACGTACACATGTTTGACCCAGTATATTTTACTTATGTATTAGATGTGTTCCCGAAAACCATTCATAAGTACATTTTATGTTTTAAGACTTATTTTAAATACACAAAAGGAAATATCATTTTTAAAGAAGCCTGTTTTGGAAATATTTTTAAAAGCAAAGAATTGTTCAGTAATGTGAAAAGGAATTTCCAATTTATCTTTATTCAAGTTCAATTTTTCACCTGCAAAGCACTTTTCAGTATAGTGAATACAGGCTATGTGGATATCCCACATAGTCTGAATTCACTCTGTTGGGTCTGTTCTTTACCTGTTGTCCTCAAATGCATAGGATTAAATTATATATACTCTCTGCATCTTTCATGGGTAATTGTAAACAAAAACACTAACAACTGCCATGCACTATTTGAAGGAGGAAAATCCGGTGTCCACTAATGGTAGGATCTGGGTTTGCATTTCATAAATTGCTTTGAAATGACTTTCACTCATCCAATTTTCCCTATGCTTAGAATAATTTAGGGTACTGGGTATCAAACTCTCTTGGGCAGCTTGTTTACCATGCAGCTTTCTGGGCAGCTCCCAGAGAGTCATCATATTTGGTGGGAATGGGGTTGGATCCAGTAATCAGTATTTTGAACAACATTGCAGGGGATCAAGATGCACGTAATCTGCAGAGCTTACTGTAAGAAACATTCTTTCAGAGCCTGTTTGGACTGTCAAGGCCCAATAATAGCAAACTATCATACCCGGGAAGGTAATCTTCAGATATAGCAGGATTAAGGCTTCTTGACTCCAGTTCCTGTCTTCTGGTATTCCTGAGAGGCAGAATTTTACTTGATATGTATGTGAAGGCCCCTAGTAAGTGTTTGTGCTAATCTAATGATTTTCGAGCTGTGTTCTGTGGAATGTCCACATAACCTGAATTCACCAGGCCCATCCCCCCAATATGAGCAATGCACTTTGTTTTAGGAACTGGGATTTCAAGGGGAAAAGTTCAAGTGCCGAACAAAAAGAGAGGCTTTTGGGGGTTAAGTATATTGGATCATAAAGGGTTAAATGTTATTTCACTTGAAGTGTTACTCATTTTGTTAAAATTTCATTTAAATTTACAATTAAATACATCTTTAGCACAGCTAATCTCTTTTCCATAGAGTATGGTATGTATTGTGCTTTGTAATGATATAACCTGTTTATTTTATCTTTCCCTATGCTTCCTGGATTTCTACTCTCCCACTGATTTTTCTTGCTTATTTTATCTACCAAGCTTATTGACTTCAGTAATTCAGTGAAGGTACAGAACTAGTTTTGTGTTTACTAACATTATTGTGTTGATTACTGCAAGAAATTGTAAAATTATGACAAAATCTAGTTCATCTATTTTCAAGGCAGACATAAGACCAAATAGATTAACTTTTCGGGGGAAAAGGTCTGTTAAATTAGAAAGCAGTTGTTTGTGCCATAAATTCTTTACAACTTCAATCCAAAAATCCTTCCAAACATGGGACAATAGGATGCATTCATTCTTTGTGAATGTGATATCACTGACATTTTCAATTCATCCGTAGGATTCCAAAGCCTATTTCCATCTTCTCAATCAAATTGCACCAAAAGGACAAAAGGAAGGTGAACCACGGATAGATATTAACATGTCAGGTTTCAACGTAAGTATAGGTGTTTCTTTCAACTTTACAATCTTTCTTATAAAATTATTGTCAATTTTTTATAAATGCAAGAGTATTTATAATTATATGTGTAGTGGTATTGACAGTTTTAAGTATTATTTTAAAGTTAATTTTAATTGCTATACTTATGATTTAGAGGCAGAAAGACTTTATTTTGAGAGTTCATTAGTGAGTTCCATAATTATGGTGTAATGGTTTATAATGGATGGCATAAAATATTCAAAGCAAACATGGGGAAATAAGTACTAGAGACTGACCTTTCCCAAATATTTGGATTATGACCACAGCGACAGATGTAATGACTACATACAGTATTTATATATACATCTGTTATCCTGTGTTGAGAATAATATGAATATGTTTACAAACTCCTGATCCATGAAATATAATTTGGGAAATTACTGACATGAACCTTGTTACCTGGTTACACCATTAATTTGTTCAATGATCTGAGACTACTTACTTCCCAAAATTGGATATCACTTTGTTCATCCACAAAGTAAGAAGCTAGACCAGCCTGTTTAATGTCAAGTTTCTAGATCCTGTCATTCTTTATACCCATTAGATATGGAATGCATGTACTAATCTTAAAAATCCACATTTCTAGCCTATTATGCAATAGGATTGAGTGGATTACACTGGCTAACCCGTTTACACTACCTTTATTAGAAATGAATTTATATCTGACTTGTTTGCTTATATTTCTGTCTGTGTGTTAAATATGAAACTCCAGTTCAGGCCACTTTTGATATAAATGAGGCACCATCCTATACACTGAGGAAGCCAGGTGCCTGGGTAAATGGCACCAGTATATAAACTGATTCTGATAAAAGTCCTCAGCCAGTCCTCCCTAAGTGATCTTCCAAAAACACTCCTTTCTTTGTCTCTTTCCTCCTCAGAATCCTTCTAGGATTCCCATTGACTCTATAATTCAGTCTGTAATGTGCTGCATAGCATTTTAAGGCCACCCCGTCTCTCCTACTCAGTGTTATTTCCCACTAATCTGTACTCCCCAAACGCTCATTTTATTTTTCTCATAGCCTTTGCTTTTCCCTTTTTTGCAGGGTCATTCATCTTTTAGTCCTACACATTCTTTAGAACTAATTTAAAAATCTGAAAAGTTTTAGCTTTTTCTTGATGGGGTTTAGCAGGAAATGTTATTTTAATTGAGTTTAATGTATTCTGTCCTTCAATCTATGATCTGGTGCCATCTAGAGTATTTTCAAGGTACTGCAAATCCAACAAGGCCAATTTTTTTTTTTTTTTTTTTTCATTCAAAACAATTTTATAATAAGTGCCATATGCTGGGTAAGAGAAAGTAGAAATTTTTTTACTAATAGATCTTCATTGTTCAGATTATTACAGTTTTTCCTTTTTTACCCCCATATGTCCCCTCCACTCAGTTCCCACCCCACCCTCTGCCCTTACCCCCCCCATTGTCCTCATCCATAGGTGTACAATTTTTGTCCAGCCGAGAATTGACAATTGTCAGTCTACTCCCTTTCTATGCCCCTGATCCTATTATATTCACCAGTTTATTCTGTTCATCAGACTTTTTATTCACTTGATTTTTAGATTCGCTTGTTGATTGATATGTATTTGTTGTCGCTTTGTTGTTCATAGTTTTTGTCTTTACTTTTTTCTTCTTCCTCTTCTTAAAGAATACTTTTCAGGCCAAAACCGGTTTGGCTCAGTGGATAGAGGGTCGCAGGTTTGATTCCGATCAAGGGCATGTACATTGGTTGCGGGCACATCCCCAGTAGGGAATGTGCAGGAGGCAGCTGGTCGATGTTTCTCTCTCATCGATGTTTCTAGCTCTCTATCCCTCTCCCTTCCTCTTTGTAAAAAATCAATATATATATATATTTTTTTTTAAATACCTTTCAGCATTCCATATAATACTGGTTTGGTGGTTATTAATTCCTTTAGTTTTTTCCTATCTGTGAAGCTCTTTATCTGACCTTCAATACTGAATAATATCTTTGCTGGGTACAGTAATCTTGGTTGTAGTTTCTTGCTATTCATCACTTTGAATATTTCCTGAAACTCCCATCTGGCCTGCATGGTTTCTGTTAAGAAATCAGCTGACAGTCTTATGGGTGCTTCCTTATAGGTAACTAACTGTTTTTGCTCTTGCTGCTTTGAATATTCTCTCTTTGTCTTTTGCTCTTGGCATTTTAATTATGATGTGACTTGGTGTGGTCCTCTTTGGATTCCTTTTGTTTCAGGTTCTCTGTGCTTCTTGGACTTGTAATTCTATTTATTGGACCAGGTAGGGGAAACCTATCCTTCAAATAGGTTTTCAATATCTTGCTCTCTCTCTCTTCTTCTGGCACCCCCATAATTCTGATGTTGGTATGCTTGAAGTTGTCCCAGAGGCTCCTTGCACTATCTTTATATTTTTGGATTCTTTTTGCTTTTTTGGTTGGGCATTTTTTGCTTCTTCTTATTTCAAATCTTGGACTTGATTCTTACATTCCTCTAGTCTCCTGTTGGATCTTCATATATTATTCTTTATTTCAGTCAGTGTATGCTTAATTTCTAGTTGGTCCTTTTTCATATTCTTGAGGGTCTCGCTAAATTTATTGGCTGTTTCTAGAAGATTCTTGAGTAACCTTTTAACCATGGTTTTGAACTCTATATCCAGTCATTTCCTTTCCTCCATTTGTGACCTTTATCTTTGTCTCCACATTTTGGCTGCTTCCCTGTGTTGATAGAGTGGTTTTGTGTGCTAGGTGTCCTATAGGGCCCAGTGGATCATCCTCCATAATTACCTGAGATAGACACTCTTGATACACCCTTTTGTAGGCTGTGTGCACAGTCTTGTTGTAGTTAAGCCTTGGTTGTTGTTGGTATCACTGGGAGGAATTGACCTCCAGGCCAATTGGCTGTGAGGACCAGTTGTATCTACAAAGGGAAAACTTCTGTGCTGGAGACACCCTTATGGGACAGGAGTTGCTTCAGTGGGGCTTTGGCACTCAAGTCTGTCCCCTGAGTGTGCTCTTATGGATGTGAAAATTTGTAATCTGGATGGTCTCACTCTGACGATTGGGTACATTGGCTCTTGGATTTCCAAGGAGAGAAGCCAGCAGGAGCCACAGAGAGATCTGCAGATTCCTTCTCTTTGTTTGGGGTTTGGAGGTGCCCAGCTGAGGCCCAACTGTGAAGCAATGTAAGCTGCTATGAGCCTTAGGTCATCTTTTGGAGGCTCTGGAGTGCTTTGACCCAGCTGCAGTATGTTAGGTTTCAGATTGCAAATGTACAGGCTACTCATATGCAAAAGTATCTGTGCATAAATTTGGTGGGGCGGGGTCTCAGGGAATCACCAAGGTGGAGCAAACAACAATGGCTGACCATCAGCCCTACCTGGAAGAGGTCCTGTGTCTCTGTGTCCCATGGAACCGTGCAGGAACAATGATCGCTGCAAGCACCTCTGAGAGAAAGCTGCTCTCGAGTTCTACCCGATGCCAGACAGTCAAATTTCTCCCTGTATGAGTCTGGGTCCCCAGAGTGCTGCCTGGAATTGGAGTTCAGAGCAGTCGAGAGCTTATGTCTCCAAAAAGACAACAGCATACTCAGTTGCCAGCCCTTTCCATTCTCGCACCTCCGTACCTCTGCACTTCACTTCTGCACCTCCACTTCTCCAAGTCTCATTGTGTTTTCTCTTTCCTTCTAGTTGTAGAATTTCCACTCAGCCAGCCTTCCCATGATTCTGGATGATACCTGTTTTGACTTTTAGTTGTAGTTTTGAAATGGTTGTGCGAGGCAGCAAGTTCAGGTGTTTACCTATGCTGCCATCTTAGTTTCTCAAATGTAGAATATTATATACACCCTATCATTGTAAGTAAACATTTTTTGTATTTTGAGTATGGCCTCTTAAAAATGTCTTCTTTTACTTCAACAGGAAACCGATGATTTGAAGAGAGCTGAGAGTATGCTTCAACAAGCAGACAAATTAGGTTGCAGACAGTTTGTTACCCCTGCTGATGTTGTCAGTGGAAATCCTAAACTGAACTTAGCCTTTGTGGCTAACCTGTTTAATAAGTATCCAGCACTAACTAAGCCAGAGAACCAGGATATTGACTGGACTCTATTAGAAGGTAAAATTCAAATGGCTGGGACTATAGAGCAGAAATATACAGGCCACAATGATTTCATAATCTTAACTTAAATACATTTCCTTATCTACTTTCCTTTAGCAAATGTCTACTAGAAGTAGACTCAAAGACTGAGTAAAAAATGGCAGTTGACAGAAAAGGATATATGAAAGAACTTTTATTTATTTGTTATGTTTTCTTTTATTTCTTTTTAGAGAGAGAGAGGAAGGGAGAGGGATAAAGAGAAACATCAATGGTAAGAGAGAATCATTGATCAGATGCCTCCTGCATGTTCCCCACTGGGGACTGAGGCCTCAACCCAGGCATGTGCCCTGACTGGAATCAAACCTCTTGGTTCATGGGTCCACATTCAACTACTGAGCAACACCTGTTGAGCGATATGAGAGAACTTTATTTTTTTTTAAATATTTTTATTGATTTTTATACAGAGAGAAAGGGAGAGAGATAGAGAGTCAGAAACATCAATGAGAGAGAGTCATCGATCAGCTGCCTCTTGCACACCCCTACTGGGGATATGCCCGCAACCAAGGTACATGCCCTTGACCGGAATCGAACCCGGGACCCTTCAGTCCCCAAGCCGACGCTCTATCCACTGAGCCAGACCGGTCCTGGCAGATATGAGAGAACTTTAAAGTAGTCTAGGGCAACTCAGTTTAAGTCCCCTTAGTAAACCAGTGTTTTATTTTAATATTTTAAAATTAGATCACTTTTTTAATATCTCACAAGACAAATGCGCATCTTCATAAAATTTGATCTATAAATTTAGAGTATTTATGTTTTATTCTTCCACAATCAGACTAACTGGAACTAGCCCCCATTTCTTTCACATGTACCTACTCAATAATTAGTAATAATGTGTAGTAATTATTTATTTAACTTTGGAGAAGGTAGTTTACCTTTCCGAGGAGATATATATATGAAAAATTAACAAATATAAATAGTAGTTGTTGAATTTCCATTAGCATTACTATAAAATAAATTTTATGCTTTTGACATTTCAAATAATTTGTTGCTTTAATATAGATAGGTGTGTAAAAAGAAGCACTTCTGTAGTTTAGTGAACATAAAATACAATATACCAATGATGTAATATGGAATTATGTACCTGAAACCTGCCAAAACCGGTTTGGCTTAGTAGATAGAGTGTCGGTCCCGGGTTCAATTCCGGTCAAGGGGATGTACCTTGGTTGTGGGCACATCCCCAATAGGGGTTGTGCAAGAGGCAGCTGATCAATGATTCTCTCTCATTGATGTTTCTAACTCTCTAACCCTCTCTCTTCCTCTCTGTAAAAAAATCAATAAAATATATATTAAAAAAAAGAATTATGTACCTGATACCTATATTTGTGTTAACCAATATCACCCTAATAAGTTCATTAAAGTTTTTTAAAAGTTCAAAAATAAAAATAGGTAGAGGAAAGGTATAAATTAATATGAGTATAGATTCATATGTCCAGAGCAAATTTTTTAAGATACAAACTATACTTGATAACATCAGTTACTTTGAAGTATGGAGACTTGAGCGACATTGGAGAAGAATTAAAGGAGGGTGGAGTTTATAAAAAGTTCCTAGATGTCTAAATTGCTTAACTGGTTATAATAAGGTTCTATTCTTTCATTTTAAAGTAAATAAGCAAATTTTAAAATTAAGCATGTGTCTAGAGGATGTATTTAGAGAGAATGCTTAGAAATTCATAAGGAGAAAACCTTTAGATCTGGAGAGGAAATAGTCTTATGTATTGGTTGACATTATATACACATATACAAGTAGTTTAATGAATATAAAATTTGTTAATATTCTTAATAGGAGAAACTCGTGAAGAAAGAACCTTCCGTAACTGGATGAACTCTCTTGGCGTTAATCCCCATGTAAACCATCTCTACGCGTAAGCCTTCCTACTGCTGTTATAAATAGTAATGAACATCATGAATGGGTGCTACACAAATAATTACCGCTCTAAACATTTTCTGAATATTAATTTATAGTGGTTATTTATATTGGAAAATGTTGAGTCGTGATATCATCAACTATAAATGATAGAATGCATTAATGTCTTTCTGGGGAAAAGATACCCTAATTTGAGACAAAGATCATCAAGGAACCCTTTAAGTAGACCATCCATGATGCCTGGGGGCCTTTGTGCTCACTGTTCTCTCAGCCTAGAATGTTCATGTTCTTTTCTATATCTAATGCCTCACTTCCTTACTATATTCACACCATTGGTTCAGATCAACAGATTCAGGTGTTGACCACCACTGGCCACTCTCTAACCCCTAACCCTACCTCTGTTTTTCTTCATAAGACTTACTCCCAAATCGTATCTATTTATCCTTGTACTTGTTTATATTCTCTCTCTCTCATATTCTCTCTCTCTCTCTCTCTCTCTCTCTCTCTCTTTCTCTCTCTCTCTCTCTTTTTCTCTCTCTCTTTCTCTCTCTCTCTGACTCTAATGAAAAGCCAGGGATTTTTTCTCCTATGTGCCCAGCCTCTAGAGCAGTACCTTGAAAACAGCAAGCTCTCATCAAATACTTTTAAGTGAATCAGATGGCCTTAGCTCCGTTTTCAGCATAGATTGATAGAATATATGTGTTGGGTATTACCTCTGGTTTTATATATCTTGTTTGACAGTGTCGTGTTATTCTTTTTAAGGAACAAAAGCCAAGTGTTTTAAAACACTAATTAAATTATTTTTAAATTGTTAGAGACCTGCAAGATGCCCTGGTAATCTTACAGTTGTATGAGCGAATTAAAGTTCCTGTTGACTGGAGTAAGGTTAATAAACCTCCATACCCGAAACTTGGAGCCAACATGAAAAAGGTAGAAAATTACATTGCCACCTATCTTTGCTACCAACTATTTTTCTTCTAACTTTGTTTCTTTTGTTTGGAAATCTCTTAACTCAAAACTTCTTGTGGACAGGAACTGTGGCTTATTTACTGTTGTTTAGTAAGCATCTGGCATCACACATGTGTACAGATTAAACAAATGAAAATCTCTAACCATTTACTTTTGTATGTTTGCAGCTAGAAAACTGTAACTATGCTGTTGAATTAGGGAAGCATCCTGCCAAATTCTCTCTGGTTGGCATTGGAGGGCAAGATCTGAATGATGGGAACCAAACCTTGACTTTAGCTTTGGTCTGGCAGCTGATGAGAAGGTATGATACACAATTTTGGCTGTTGAAGCTTCACTCCAATACAGGTCTGTGATCTAGTTATTATTTTTAAATAAACATACTAGTGACTACACCTTTGAAATGTTTGTATTTAGACTCTGAAATGAGCTTAAGTAATGAGTATATATTTGATGTTTCATGGGAGATGATGCCTCCTTGAGAGTTGTGCAACAAAACTGTGAACATTTCCTTTTCTCATAAGAGCCTGAGGCATACACTTGAGTCTCACCTAAAATCAACAAATAAAGAAATAACCAGCAAAAATTGTGAACATCCCATGTATCCATTTGAAAAATATCTTTTAACTGTAATGCTAAAAAACATTTATTATGACTGGGTGCCAGCCAAAGCAGAGCTTATATTAAGATATTACCACAGTTGGACTAGTACTAAATGTGCCTGTTGTAGACAGTTGAGCTTGCTCATTAAACACTGAAAATCTTAAACCCCACTGTCACCTTCACTACTGCAGAGGGTAAATGACTAGCAACCCACTTCTACTTGAATATGTTTTTCATATAAGATGACTCTTTCCATGAAATCTTTAGTATCTCAAACCTAAGGAATAAAAGAAATGGAAGCTAAAGCATCTTCCTAATGTTTATATTTTCACTTATAAAGTAGATTGGGACCTTTTCTTTGGCTTCTTCTTTTAGATATACCCTCAATGTCCTGGAAGATCTTGGAGATGGTCAGAAAGCTAATGACGACATCATTGTAAGCTGGGTCAACAAAACATTGCGTGAAGCTGGCAAATCAACTTCCATTCAGAGTTTTAAGGTAAGAATTTCCATGTGTGACTATTAAACATTATGTTTGCTAGAAAGTCTCTGTAATTTTGGAAGAACAACCTTTGGTTCATTGTGAGTAAGAATTATCATTGGGCTAATGGCAAGATTCTCTTTGAATTCTCTGGCCTTTTGTTTTGGGAACTTTATATAAGTAATCCCATGTTTTACATATTGAAATTTGTACATATTAAAATTCTCAGATTTGTTCCCTTTTTACACTAGGACAAGACAATCAGCTCCAGTTTGGCAGTTGTGGATTTAATTGATGCCATCCAGCCAGGCTGCATAAATTATGACCTTGTTAAGAGTGGCAATCTAACAGAAGATGACAAGCACAATAATGCCAAGTAAGTAATGCTGCCTAATATTCTGGGAAGAGCCAGAGATCTTCATTCTTAGTCAAGTTCTATCACTTAGGAATTGTGTCACCTAGGGGAAACCTCTTTGAGCCTGAGAGTCCTCATTAGTAAAATGGAAACAATAGTAATTACCTTAGAGATTTTGAAAATACTGTATATAAGTGCCTAGCATTGTGCCTGACCTACCAGGTGCTCAATCAGTTGTTGCTTCATGGAATTATAGAAATAATGTAGTGTATGCTTTAATGCAATTCGGCTACAAATTTACAAGGGAAAAATAAGCTAAGGATAATCATGCCTTATCCTCCAATACCCTTTTTACTGTGCATAGATCACTCTGGCTATGTATGCTGAGCTCATTATCTTGGTCCCTAAATGGGCAGGATGCTTATATGCTTTGGAAGTTTCTTGCATTTCAATAGCATTGAGATTTTTTCTACCCATCTCTTCCCTTCTTCACCAAGACCTTGACTGTGACCTGGATTTATGGGCAACCCATGGGAGCTTTACTAGTACATTGAAAATCACCCAGCACAGGGCTTCATAAGATATAGCTAAGGAGCATTACTGCAAAAAAATCCTGTTAATAAACACCTAGAAATGCCACATGTATTAATTGAGGTATACTCTGCAAGTTTCCCTATCTGGATATGTCAGTTCTTTCCTTCCTTCCTTTGTCTACCCTTTCTGTTCCTTGCCCTAGTAACTCTGGTCATGTGCCATGTAGAAATTCGGAAGTATTCATTGCATCTACCAAAGTAACCTGGATTTTACATCTGGTATAATTTTCCACCCCATATCTCCAAGATCACATGAGAGTGTAAAAATTTATTTTTAACCACATGACCTTTAAAAAAAAAAGCATTGATTGTGCAGCCAACCTGGGTGATTGTGTGTGTGTGTGTGTGTGTGTGTGTGTGTGTGTGTGTATTTATTTTCATATCAAGTCAGTGCTCCAAAATTAATTATAATTTTATATTGGAGAAAATGAGTGAATAAATGTTATCAGTCTTAAATAGCAGAGCTTAAAAACCTGGTGTCACTTAAGAGTAACCTCGTAAACAAAATAAAACATCAAAAAGTGAAATGGTTCTGATTTGAACTTTAAATGTGGAAGCTTTACACCCCAGCCAAATGATCATAGAAAACAAATGTCTCATATTGTGTGCTTGACTGACAAGATTTTCATCTTAATTTTTGTTTCCTCAAAAAATAGGTATGCCGTGTCAATGGCTAGAAGAATTGGAGCCAGGGTGTACGCTCTTCCTGAAGACCTTGTGGAAGTAAAGCCCAAGATGGTCATGACCGTGTTTGCATGCTTGATGGGCAGAGGGATGAAGAGAGTGTAAAATACCCCATTTGAATAAAAACAGCCTTGCTCCCAGGTGCATGATTAGCAAGTCAGCTATTTCCAGGTGAAGTGCTCATGGCTTAAGGAACTGTTGGTCATTTAAAGGACTTTTCATTTTGATTAAGAAGACTAGCTCCTCATGAGAGCCCTCAGGGGAAAGAGTTTTCATAAAAACAAGTCCTCTTTCCCATAGTCCTAGTTGGATTGATCGGCACAACTGAAATGTGCTCATAGCCAAATCATTTACTCTCCTTCTAGATTGCTGCCTTTGACATTTCTCCTTATTATATGTTATTTCTTTCTGTATATCTTTTTCCCTCTTAGAATGTCCACCTCTTGAGACTTGCTTAGATGATTGGATATGACTATTATTAGACAATAATTTTGCTTTCCATCCGGTATGCTAGTTCTTAATCAAGAACTGTGGTCAGAGGGTATTTAGTTGTGAGTATCCTTTGCTTATCTTGATAGTACTGAAAATTTGTGGAAGTAACTGGCTGTGCAGAATGTAATAGAAGCTTTTCATATTCTTTTATTCTTAAAATTAGTATCTTTTTACAGTATTCTTTCTACACGATCCTTTTTTTGTACATTTAAGAATATTTTGATTACATTAAATAAGACTGCTGATTTTGCTACTTTTTTAAAGGGGTCTTCAAGTAAGTAAAAAACATACACTATAGGTAGAGGAAAATGTACCTTAAATTTGCATCTTCTCCCTCACACCCAAGCTGTAAACAATTGACATATATTTTGTCTTAAAACACTTGGTTCAATTTTGGCTTATTTGTTTTAAAACCTGTATCATCAAACTCTCTCTTTAGATTTAAAATGCGGTTGAATATGACACATTTGAGGAGAGAGTATGCTCAGAACTTAGGTAGGATGCAGAAGGTCAGGTATGCTAAGTGAACAATAGATTTTCTAATTTTACACCTAAGACAAGGAGATGTGGTCACTAAAACATAAAAATATATGTAGGACTTAATGTACTCTTGCTTGTCAGGCTGTTTGCTATAGTTTCCAAGATTATAATGTTACTCTAACTCTGAAAAATTATGTAATCTGATAGCAATGTATTAGTTCAAATAAAGGCATTTACATAATAATTAGTCTGTTCATGTTTCTGTCCCTTAGTAGTATGCTAATGATGTTCATCAGTTTTTCCTCCAATATTTTGACTCTTTTTCTGTTGTACTGTATAAAATCATGTTTGTTCAATTTAAATTTAAATTTTTGACATAACTAATGGACACAGGCACCAGGAGGGTGAAGGAATGACCAGGGAGGGGGGTAAGGGGATAAGGACACATATGTAATACCTTAATCAATAAAAAAATTAAGCTTTTGTTGGTGAATTGCAGGGACTGAAATAAGGATAAAACCAATGAGAAAAGATGGTTTTCTCCAGCTTACAAAAATTTCCTTATCCAGATCCACCATTTTTCTTTTTTTCCCATCTCACTCAATTTTTTCAATATTCTATGATATTCAGAAGACCAAAACAATGGGGACCTGAACAACCAGGAAATAGAGAGGTGGTTTATAGAGATTTTTTCAACCTCATCACTATTGACATTTTTAGTTGGATAACTTTTTATTGGGGGGGGGGACGCTATTCTGTGCATTTTAGGATGTCAGTAGCACACCCCAGAGTGTAAACCAAGTAAGTCTCTAGAAATAGTCAAATGTCCCATGTGGGGTAAAAGCATCCTAGTTGACAACCAGTGGTTTATGGTACCATTTTAAGGCTTTGTGTGAATGAGTACTATGAAATGCAGTCCTCTGAGAGACTGTATGGTGATGTTATAAAATATTTTGTATTTATAGTCTAAGAGTAAGACAGACCTTTCTATTATAAGTATGATACTAACCCCAAAGACATAAAATAAGAGAATGATACATTTGACAATTCTGCTTTAGCAAAGATATCTAAAGAAATACAATTTAAAAAGTCAAACTAGAGATAAACAAACCATTGTCTTAGTCTATTTGGGCTGCTGTAACAGAACATCATAAACTAAACTTGTAAACAAGATAAATTTATTTCTCACAGTTGTGCAGTCTGGGAAGTCTAAGATTAAGGTGCTGGCAGGTTCAATGTCTGGTGAGGGCCTACTTCCTGGTTCATAAATGGCTGTCTTTTAGCTGTAACCCAACATGGAAGAAGAAGCAAGGGAGTAATCTGGAGTCTCTTGAATAAGGTCACTAGCCCAATTCACAAGGGCTCCATCCTTGTGACCTAATCACCTCTAAAGATCCCACCTCCAAATACCATCACATGGGAAATGAGGTTTCAACATAGGAATGGGGAAGGGGACATTAAGTCTATGGTACCCCTATAATGGATTGATTTTCTTAATATAAAAACAGTTTATCCTTTCTAATAAAGAGGGAGTATGCTAATTGGCCCTCATGCTATTGCAAAATGGTGGTGCCCACAGCCAATAAGGAGGCAATATGCTAATTGACTGCTGCACCCTCAAAGATGGTGGCACGCAGGGCCAGCCCAAGGTGCAGGAAAACCTCTGATAGTGGCTACCCAGCCACCCAGGGCCACCTGAGGCTCAGGTAACCAGGGCTGGTTGAGGCTAGCAGTGGCAGCAGCAAAGGTGTGATGGGGTATCACCTTCCCCTGATCACCAGGTTGTCTCGCCCCTGAAGGCTCCCAGACTGTGAGAGGGGGCAGGCTGGACTGAGGGATGCCCTCCGCACTGCAGTGCATGAATTTCCATGCACCGGGCCTATAGTGAATAAATAAAAGACAAGTCTTCTGCAAACATACACTTACCAGGATAATTAATGAGGTAAGGCAAATCACATCTTATGACCTGTTTTCTACCTTGTATTGTCTATACTTACCCATCTCTCTACAACTAATTAGGACCCTAATGCCTTTTATAAAATTTTTTAATTAGATTTGTTGGGGTGACATCGGTTAATAAGATTATATAGGTTTTTAAGTATGTAGTTTTATATTATATCATCTCTGTATTGCATTGTGCATACTACCCAAAATCAATTCTTTTTCCATCACCATATATTTGTACCTCTTTGCCCTTTACTATTTCTTCCCCAACCCCCTTTTCCTCTGGTAGCCATCATACTATTGTCTGTCTATAAGTTTCCCTTGTTTGCTTATTTGTTGCTCTCAGCTTAATGATTGGAAGCAAGATAGAAAAGGTTTATTCCATCTTGCCCTTTCTTCAAAAAAGGAGCTGATTTCTTGGGTAGTTCACTGTACAAAGCCTACAATATATAGAACTGTACCCTAAATGTTTGTATAAAAGATAGTTAAGTGTTCATATAAAGCAGTGCACCTGAACACACCATTTCTCCCTTCCTCTAATAATGGGCTAAAATTGCTAATAGATTAAGAGGTCTAGCAAATCTATAAAAGAGAAAGTTCCAAAATGGGCAAAGAAGATGAATATTCAGTGCAAAACACTGAAGTTAACCAATGAACATAAAATTGGAATGCTGATTATCAAAAGTAATGAAGATTATGAATTTAAACCAACCAATAAAGTCTTTTTTTAGTAGACTTTATTTTTAGAGCAGTTTTGGGTTCACAGAAAAATTGAGGTATAGAGATTCCTACATACTTCCTGCCCCACATAGCCTCTCTCACTATCAACACTGGCTCCAGAATGGTACATTTTTAACAATTGATGGTCCTCTAATGATATATCATTATTACCCAAAGTCCATAATTATAAGGTTCATGCTTGGTATTGTACTTTCTATGAGTTTTGACAAATGTATCCATTAGAATAGTTTCATTGCCGTGAAAATCCTTTGTGCTCAGCCTATTAATCCCTTCTTATCTCCTAACACCTGGACACCACTGATCTTTCTACTGTCTCCATAGTTTTGCCTTTTCTAGATAATATCCTCTATAGTATATTTAAAAGTTGCTAAGAGAGTAAATCTTAAAAGTTTTCATCACAAAAAAAATATTTGTAACTATGGTGACAGATGTAAATTAGACTTATTGCGGTGATCATTTCACAATGTATGTAAATACTGAATATCGAATAGCTGAAATTAATGTTATAAGTCAATTATACTTCAATTTAAAAAAAAAAACAGGAGGTAGAAAAGAGTACATGTAACCTTAAAAAAAAAAAAAAAAAACAGGAAATTACAAATGACAAGTGCTGGCAAGGGTATGGTGAAAAGGGAACCCTCATGTATTATTACTGGGAGTGCAGACTGGTGCAGCCATGATGGGAAACAGTATGGAGAAGCCCCCAAAAATGAAAATGAAACAGTCTTATGACCCAGTGATTCCACTTCTGGGTATATATCCAAAGACATCCAAAACACTAATTCGAAAGAACATATGCACCATATTTGCAATAGTCAAGCTATGGAGGCAACCCAAGTGCCCATCAATAAACAAGTGGATAAAGAATGGTGGTACATAATGGAATATTATTCGGCCATAAGAAGGAATGAAATCTTGCCACTTGAAACAAAATGGATGCACCTAGTATTATGTTAAGTGAAATAAATAAGTCAAAGAGAGACAAATACCATATGATTTCACTTACAGGTGGAATCTAAAGAACATTATAAATGAACAAACAAAACAGAAACAGACTCATAGAAACATATAATAGACTGACGGTTGCCAGAGGAGAGGAGAGTTGAGGGACTGAGTGAAAAAGCTGAAGGGATCGAGAAGTACACATTGGTCTATGGCCATATCACCCTGAACGCGCCTGATCTCGTCTGATCTCGGAAGCTAAGCAGGGTCGGGCCTGGTTAGTACTTGGATGAGAGAAGTACACATTGGTAGTTATAAAATAGTTGTGAGTATGTAAAGTACAACATAGGGAATATAGTCAATAACCCTATATAATAAAAGCCTAATATGCTAAGTGTCTGACCATTCATTGGACCATTTGACCAGTTGTTATGATGTGCACTGACCAACAAGGGTCAGATGCTTCAACCCATAGGTTAGCTTGCTGCTGGGGTCCGACTTATCAGGATTGAGCAAGATGGGCCAGACATGTCCTGGAGCCCTCCTGGGGTCCCTCCCCAGCCCCAATCATGCACCGGTGGGGTCCCTCAGCCTAGCCTGCACCCTCTGGCAATCCAGGACACCTCGAGGGATATCAGCCAATTTTGGCCCTATACCCACAGGCCAGGCTGAATCTGTGCACCAGGTCTCTAATACTATAATAATTATGTATAGTACCAGGAGGGTACTAGAAATATTGTGGGAAACACATTATAAAGTATGTGATTGTCTAACAAATATATTGTAACACAAAATAATATTGAATGTAAACTGTAATTGAAAAATAAAATTTTTTACTGGCTGATTGCTCAGAGATTAGAGTATTGATCCGTGCACCAAAGAGTCCTGGTTTTGATTCCCAGTCAAAGGGAAGTACCTGGGTTGTGGGGTTGCTTTCGGTCAGGTTGCATGCCAGAGGCAACCAGTAGATGTGTCTCTCACACATCAATGTTTCCCTCTACCTCCCTTTCACTCTTCTCTGAAGAATGGAAAAAATAGAGTAGGAGAGGATTTTTGTTTGCCGTTGGTAGCTGTTTACTATCTGGAATCAGGGAAGTGTCCGGAGCACTGCCGCCGCCATGAACATGTCGGTCCCAAGCGCACTCATGAAGCAGCCGCCCATTCAGTCCACGACTGGGGCCGTCCCGGTTCGCAATGAGAAAGGTGAGATTTCCATGGAGAAAGTGAAGGTGAAACGTTATGTATCAGGAAAGAGGCCAGACTATGCTCCTATGGAGTCCTCTGATGAGAAGGATGAAGAATTTCAGTTCATTAAGAAAGCCAAAGAACAAGAAGCAGAGCCTGAGGAGCAGGAGGAGGATTCATCTAGCGACCCTCGACTGCGACGTTTGCAGAACCGCATTAGTGAAGATGTGGAAGAGAGATTGGCTCGACATCGAAAAATAGTGGAACCTGGAGTGGTAGGAGAAAGTGACTCAGAAGTAGAAGGAAATGCTTGGCGCATGGAACGAGAAGATAGCAGTGAGGAGGAAGAAGAAGAAATTGATGATGAGGAAATAGAGCGGCGCCGTGGCATGATGCGTCAATGAGCACAGGAGAGAAAAAATGAAGAGATGGCAGTCATGGAAGTGGAAGATGAGGGACGTTCTGGGGAGGAGTCAGAATCAGAGTCTGAGTATGAAGAGTACACAGACAGTGAAGATGAGATGGAGCCTCACCTTAAGCCTATCTTCATTCGAAAGAAGGACCGAGTAACAGTTCAAGAACGTGAGGCTGAAGCATTGAAACAGAAGGAGCTGGAGCAGGAGGCTAAACGCATGGCTGAGGAGAGGCGCAAGTATACACTCAAGATTGTAGAAGAGGAGACCAAAAAAGAGCTGGAGGAAAACAAGCGATCCCTGGCTGCACTGGATGCACTGAATACTCACGATGAGAATGATGAGGAGGAATATGAGGCCTGGAAAGTTCGGGAACTAAAGAGAATCAAGAGGGACAGAGAAGATCGAGAAGCACTTGAGAAGGAGAAAGCAGAAATTGAACGCATGCAAAATCTGACTGAGGAAGAGAGGCGAGCTGAGCTCCGTGCAAATGGCAAAGTAATTACCAACAAAGCTGTTAAGGGCAAATACAAGTTCTTACAGAAGTATTATCACCGGGGTGCCTTCTTCATGGATGAGGATGAAGAAATATACAAGAGAGATTTCAGCGCACCTACCCTGGAGGATCATTTCAACAAAACAATTCTTCCCAAAGTCATGCAGGTCAAGAACTTTGGGCGCTCTGGTCGTACCAAGTATACCCACCTTGTGGATCAGGACACCACCTCCTTTGATTCATCATGGGGCCAAGAGAGTGCCCAGAAAACAAAGTTCTTTAAACAAAAGGCAGCTGGGGTACGAGATGTATTTGAACGGCCATCTGCCAAGAAGCGAAAAACTACTTAAAGGTCAACTACTTATCTTCAGCTGTGGGACACAAGGGCAAGTCTCAGTGTCTGGTCCTTTGCTTTCACTATTATTTACATGGGCTGTGTATCCAGCCTGTTGGACCTACTGCCATACTTGTGACACTGGGAACCCAGTTTTGGAGGGTGCTTTGTGCGGTTTGGACTCATGCTGAGAAACCCACATAACAGCACTATCCAGGTAGGATTACCCCCACTTAAAATTATTTCTGAGAAATCGTCGTTTAAATCATTGCTCTGGCTTCCCAAATTTACTTGGGACTGTTTCAAGTTTTTTCCCAGCCCCATAGCTTGGGTCAGAAATATAGTCATGTAAATGGACAGTGCATCACTTCTACCTTAGAGGAAACCTGAGCTCATTGAAACCTGATTTACCATTTTGGCTTGAGTCAATTTTTCTAGGTGAATGTACTTTTTAAATCCATTTATGTACATATCAATAAATAAAAAGAATCACATGACTTTTTGAGCTTCATATTAGAAAATAATGTGCAGGCTATAAGCATCTATCTGTTAACTAAAATAAAGTCAGGAAATTGTCAGGCAAAAAAAAAAAAAAGAATGGAAAAAATATTCTCAGGTGAGGATTAACAAAAAATGAAAAAGAAAATTTTAAAATGACCTGTTTTAAAAAAATTACTTTGAAAAAAAAACCCAGGAAATTGACATTGATACAAGCCACAATGCTTATTCATTTTTCACAAGTTGGTGTGTTTTTTGTGTGTGTGTGTTTTTTATGTACCTGTATATATACCTTCCTAGGAACACTGCATGGGAAAGAATACTTAAAAGACCAACAAAATGGACATGACAACCACTTACTGGAAAACATCTTATCTAATAAAAGAGTAATATGCAAATTAACCATCACTCCGCCACAAAAAATGGCAGAGCCCATAGACACAAGATGGCAGCACCCAGTTTCTCAGGCCCAGGGAGGGCTGCTGCTGAAAGCATACAGCATGAGGCCCCGGCTGTTGGCCTGGGAGGCGCCTTCACACCCCCTGCTTGATCAGCTCCCAGCTGAGACCTGGACAGTGGCCTGGGAGGCAGTCGCGTACCCCCGGTGCAATCAGTGAGCTGTAACCTGGGCCATAGGCCTGGGAGGCAGCATGCACCCACCCCCCATTAGCTCCCAGCATCAACCCAGGCAGTGGCCTCGAAGGAAGTGCATTCCCCCTCCCTCCTCCCCCACCGAGATCTGCTCTCAGCCCCAATCTGAGCCATAGGCCTGGGAGGTGGCACAAACCCTGGCAAGATCAGGTCCCAGTGGCTACCTGGGCAATGGCCTGGGAGGCAGCTGTGCACCCCTGGCGTGATCAGCTCCGAACTGCAACCTGAGCCATAGGCCTGGGCGGTGGCCACGCCCTCCCCCCATCACCCTCACACCCTATCCCCCACCCCCACGTGCAATCTGCTCCTAGCATTGGCCTGGGCTGTGGGCCTAGGAAACCCTCAACTGCCTATCTCCTCCTTTCCCACCCACCCCCAGTGATCTGCTCCCATCCACAGCCGGGGGGTGTAGGCCTGGGATGCAGCTGTGCCCCCAAGAGCTATCCCTTCCTTGGGGCAGCCTAGGGTGTCAGCCTCCAAAGGGCCTGAGCCCCCATGGAGTGATACACACACACACATACACACACACACACACACACACACACACACACACACACACACACACCTATAGCCTTGGAATTTCCCTTGCTCCCAGCAGAGTGATTAGAGACAGAAAAGGAATAAAAGGAGAAAAGAAAGAAAGGACAAAAGATGAAACATAAAGAAAAAGAAAGAGAAGGAAAAAAGGGAGAAACAACCACATATCACCTTTCCAATGTCTCATGAAATTACTGTTTAAGGAGTTTATTTTATAACACTTTTAGTTTGGGTTTACATTTTTATTGGTTTGTCAAGACCACGGAAGGTACACTGTCCAATATGTTAAAGAAAAACCCCTATCTAATGAATATTCAGGGGAGGGCAGTTGGGGACTATTGGGCCAACAAGGGAACAGTTAGGCATCAATCAGGCTGGCAGGGGAGTGGTTAGGGAGTGATCAGGCTGGCAGGCAGAAGTGGTTAGTGGCAATCAGGCAGGCAAGCAAGCAGTTGAAAGCCAGCAGTCCCAGATTGTGAAAGGGATATCTGACTGCCTGTTTAGGCCTGATCTCTAGGACCTAAGCAGGCAGTCAGACATCCCCCGATGGGTCACAGATTGGAGAGGGTGCAGTTTGAGCTGATGAACACCTCCCCCTCTCCCCCAGTGAACAAATTTTGTGCACCATCCTCTAGTCTATACTAATAAAAGGGTAATATGCTAATTGACCAGTAGTATTCTGGATGACCCTCTAGACATCCTTTTGGACAAAGCCATGGCTGCAAGAGCCAAGGCAAGCCACCAAGGCTGGGAGGGCTCATCGCAGAGCCCTCGCCAGGTTTTTAGGGCCTCCCTCTGTGCAGCATCGACCACAAAGCCCTGGCAGGGTGGGCAGGGTAGACAGGGCTTCCCTATGGATAGTGATGGGGCCCATCCAGAGCCCCAGCCAGGTGAGAAGGGCCTCTCTCTGCTCTATCATTGATCCCAGAGCCCCAGAAGATGATTAATGGCGGAGCTCAGGCCAAATAGGCAAGGCCTCCCTGTGAGTGGGGGTTAAGTGGAACCCAGGCTGGGTAGGGAGGGCCTACCTCTGTTCTGCCATTCATTCCACCCACAGGGAGGCCCTGCCCACCCAGCCTGGCTCTGCCATTAATCCCCGCCCAAGGGAGGCCCTGCCCACCCCAATTGGAGAGGGTGCAGGCTGGGCTGAGCGAGCCACCTCCCTCGCCCCCTGTGCACAAATTTCATGCACCAGGTCACTACTTTTTATATAAAACCATTGAATAGCAGGTATAGGGACTTACAGCAACTCATGATGAGGAATGTATCAGATTTATTTACTGTGAAATGTCACTCCTGAAGAACTTAAGGCTTTAGTCTTCCTCCTTTGTCACTTTTTATTCAGCATACTCCCTGCGGAGAAATTTTCAAAGTATGTTTTCTGTTCATTAATTATTAATTAATCAATTAAACCAAATTAAGTACCTGCTTTGTCCCAGGCTTTTGTCAAAGGTCTGAATAAGATGAATGAGAAATCCTTTTCCGTGAATTCTGTGGTTGTGCATCTGGGACACAAACACTCATAAAATCATGTGTAACAATGGAGTTTATATCAGGTAGTGGCACCAAGTCAGAAAGGGTAAATTGAGCAATGGTAGACAGGATATATTTGGTTTGGGGAAGGAGGGCGGTGGTCAATAAATCCCCCAACATGAAGTGATGCTTTAGCTGGTAATTAGTTTTGAGTTTGAGTGGAGATAAAAGGGCCCAGGTAGATTTTTTTTAAATCCTGCTGATATCTTTCCTGAGGTACAGATTTGATCTATACTTGCTCTCTGATTTCAAAATCCTATTTCAAAACTGTGCTATGCTCATTGGATTTCATGGAAGGGGCTCTTTGTAATGCTTAACAGCTTAGACTTAAAATATGTGTAAGACATCTAAACAGCATCCCCAATTTCCCCTCTCACTGTCCAAAATTACTGGTGAGAAGCAAACAAAAAAAATAGCCCCTGCATGAGTGAGAAGGGAGTGGGAGAGTAATAAGGACACATATGTAACACTTTTAATCAATAAAAAAAAATTTTTTTTAAGGAAAAAGAAAATAGCCCCTGACATGGGAGCTGGCCTTGCCCACACAGCTAGTCCTATCGCAGTTCTCCTGTGATCATAAACAAATTCACAGAACAACATCCAACAAGGCTCCTCTGATAGTGATAAAGGGAGACAAAAATAAGCCCATTGTATTATCTTGTATGAAAGACAAAATATGAATGTTGTCCAAGTCTCAGAAATGAACAAATATCCCCCTCTCCTGGCTAATATGAGGTATGGCTGCTGCTCCACTCCCAGTACAGCTTTAGCCAGGTTATAATCTAGTACAGTTTTGCAATGTTGATTGTAAATATAGCTTGTCTTAGATACGTATGACTTATACCTTGTCTCCTCTAATAACTATTCTCCATATTGCCTATCCCAAATCCAGAATAATAAAACTATTAAAATGTCTTTCATGCCTAAACTATTTTTAGGTTTCCTAAAATGGCCATTACGGAATACAAATATTTGCTCTTCAAGCCTACAAAAGAAAGGACGATAAGAATAATTTTTTCGGGTTGGGAAGATGGCAGAAGAACAGATGGGCGGATTCTGAGCCCTCTCCCATAGCAGAAAGAGAGAGCAACTGATGGTCTTGAGCTGTGAGTGTTTATTAGCAAACTGGGAGTCAGCGAACACCAGAAGAAACTGCTGGGGGGGCTGCTGACAGAGGCACCCCTCACAGGGAAACACCCACGTGGGCTAGGTCCCTGCCCAGAGCTACCTACTGGCTTGGATAGGGAAACCTCGCCATCTTGAGAGGAAGATAGGATCGTCTCAGAGGCCGGAATATCAACAGCCGCAGTGACCAACAAGCAACTGTGACCCGCAGAACGCGGATGCCGGACGGCACAAACACCTGGCCTCACAGGAGTGCCCCACTGCTTGGCAAAAAGGTCAGATTTTGCGGGGAGAGGGTGGAGAGCACTTGAGGCAAAAACAAAACCTGTGCACACAGAGCTCTCAAAAGCTGGAGGACAAGGGTGGTGATTACAAGTAGAAGCCCCCGCTGTTGGGCGGGTGTCACCCGTGAAAGTGGACGGGCTCCTAACAGGGGAGATATCTAAAGAGCAACACATTTGGATCTGGCGCGGAGGGGTATCTGAGAGTTGCGGGAGATTGCAGTTGCTGGGACCTGCCCCTCCCCTCCCCTCCGTAGTTCCTGCTTCAGAGAGGACAAAAAAAAAAAAAAAAAGTTGGAGAGGCTCTAGAGTCTGGGAAGTCAACCTAGAAACACTGCCCCCAGAGGCTAATTCACAAATTGACTCTAGTGTAATAAAAACAAAGCAAAAC